CCTTACCCGCATCGACACCCACACCCACACGCACACCCACACCCACATCCACACTCACACCCACGCCCACACCCACATCCTATAGCTGACTAATTTGCTCTAGATTTCGTCTCAACCAATCATTCAATGTCCACATGTCCCGAGCTCAAAGAAAAATTCAAATATAAAATAATACAAATGACTAATCTACTCTAGATTTCGCTTGAACCAATCATGCAATGTCCCTATCTTCCAAGCATGAACAAAAAATATTGAACTGCAATCCATACTAATTCAGCAAGAAATTGTTTAATATCAAATCATCGTCTAGCATTATTACAGATAAAAACTTCATTAAAATCAATACCATAACTAATATAAATAATTATATAAGAAAACACTAAAGAAAGTCACTGATAATTATTTATCAATCAAAATACAAAAATGAATCCATCTTGATCACCCAAGAAATAACAATAAACATAAATGGAGTGACAAACAAACAAATTCTTTTGCATGCATGTTAACAAAATTTGTAAAAAAAACCGAACAACCTAGATAATTCCAATCTCAACTTGATTCCAAAGTCAACTGCAACATATATATTAAACATTGGAATAGATGTCTTATATTGCTGAAAGTCCTTGTTGGATCAACATATCGCTAATAGTCAAGTAAGAAAATAATTAAAATCAGAAGAAAAGTAAGAGAATCAGGAAGTTTGATATAAAAGAAAAACAAAGATAATTTTCACTGATAAATTAAATAACTATTGATAGTAATTTGCAAATTTCTAGAAGAAAAATCCAGTAAAATGTCATACGATTAGAAAAATGCGATCATGGTATCTCTCCTTCCAATTTCTTTATCCTTTTTTTGGAACCTCCCAAATCTAAGCCAATTGGTATCTTTTTATATCAAACAATGTTTGCTTTTGTCAAATCATTTGATAGATCTTTATATTTATTTTTGAATATTAAAAAGAAATATGATGAGCAAACTAATAAAAAATGTTACAACCAATGTTTATACTTAAAAAATGAAAGCATGAGTATTACCAACATACCCATGCAACCAAGTACAATAAAATAACCATTTTTATAACGAAGTTCAGGCATATTTTCAAAGTTCTAAAAAAAAAGCAAATTTGATTGAAGCCAAAAAAAAGAAAAGCAACAATAAATTAATTTACCATGCCATAAACTCCAACAATAAATGTTAATGGAATAAAAATGCTTGTTACAATTGTTAATGTTTTAACTATTTCATTCATATGATTTGAATTTAAGATCATATAAAAATCAATAAACGATGATAACATTTCTCTATATGTATCAATAGAATCATTAGCTTGTACAATATGATCAAATAAATCTTTTAAATAAATATTTGTACTTTCTTGCATAATTTGTGTTTCTTCTTCTTTTTGTAATTTAATAATTATTTCTTTGAATGGAGATATTATTGAACGTAAAGAAAGAATATCACGTTTTAAATCATATATAGATTCTAATGTATCACGTTTAAGTGTTTTCATCAGTTGATTATCAATTGATGCAACTGATGTATCCATCATATGAAGAACATCCATATAATGATCACCAATAACATCAAGAAGCGAATAAAAGAGATAATCAATTTTAGACTTTCTTATACGACCTTTTCCCTGTCGAATACGATCTTGAAAAAGATACAAACAAGAAGTAATTATAAATGAATTCATAATTGGAGAAAACTGAGAACGGAAGCAAATAGAAACCTGTAGTTTTCACCATTGGAAAGAGCGATGTCACATGTGTCGATCAGGTGTGCATTGATATTTTGTTCTTTGTGAATTTTCATCATTTTTCCGACGAACTTCAACAAAAATTTTACCAAAATAGATCCCAAAACACCATATATTCCTAGTGAAATTTCCATGATTTTTTACTAACTTCTCAACATTTATCTTCGATGAAGTTACCGCGATAAATTTAATCATAAATACATGGTGTTTTGGGTTCTATTTTGATAAAATTTTTGTTGAAATTCGTCGGAGAAATGATGAAAATTCAGAAAGAACAAAATATCAATGCACACCTGATCGACATTCGTGACATTGCTCTTTCCAATGGTGAAAACCACAGGTCTCTATCTGCTTCCGTTGTAGAGTTTTCTTCATTCATTTAGATAGGTGATCAGAAAAATCTACTTTTTTACCCTTCAATTGATTAAATCAGAATATTTACTTCAAAAAGAAAATATTACATCTGAATCAAGTTTGAATAAAAGAAAGAACGATTTGATGATACTAAATTTATGATCTAAGCTTAGTGAAATTTTGCAAACCAAACCTTTCTACTCAATTATTCAAGAAAATAAATTAATGAATGTAAAAAAAAACAGTTTTTGGACAAAAATTAGCTGAATTTATTAAAATATTCATACTTTTTATTGAATCAAATAAATCTTTGGATGTTTCTTGAAATGTTATAAGAATATCATGTTTCAAATAAAAACTCATTTGTTGAATAATTATTTGACCTGTACAATCCATATCATGATATATTAATTTGCATACAAGAAATAAAGCATCATCCAATACATCTAATTTTGTTCGTTGTTCAGTTGTTGTTATATCTGTTTGAACTAATGAATGAATATCATAACGTTCACCTATTCCAGATATGACATCTGGATCATGAATACCATCGATGTCAATCCCTGAGGAAAAAAAAACACATGTTTATTTTTTCTGATATATGCATATAAATACATACATGTCATTGAGTTTACTGTTTCCGATGGTGTCTGTAGAAATTCTTCAATAGTTTTATATTTTATTTCCGTACACAAATTTTCATCATACTTAATAACATTCAAATGAACTGGTTCTCTAAAAATGTAAATGATCAACAATAGTTAAGTCAGTTTTCGATCTAGGATTTTTGAAGGGAAGGTGCAATTGTAGGCAAAAAGTGTGATTTCAGATAGTACCAACTGATTTTTTCGCTCGTTTTTTTCTGCAAAAATATCAAAAAACTTTTCATGAAGGAGGAGGAGCGTCGGAGCGATCGCATCCCCGCTCCTGAATAAAATCTATTCGATGAGAATTATTAACAATAGTTCAGGAAAAACGACTAGTTTAACTACTGATTCTCCGTTGGCTTACTATAACAGTGATATTCATTTAAAACTTACGTTGGATCAGAAAGATGTAAAAATTTCTGAGATAAAAAAGCACCAAATCCAAATTGTGTTACACGTCCACGAATTGTTGTTCTTCTACCAATTAGCATATAATTTTCTCTGTCAATGCGTGACTTTATACGTCTTACTGGTAAAACTTTGTTTCTACGTTGTGTAGAACTGTTTATCATAATTATTATCGAATCAGATATTGGCGAACTGTGCCAAACAAATTCTTATAAACGACAGAAAAATCACCAATTACTAATTTATATTGAAATATTTAGTTCTTGTTTCTTTTTTCTTTTGCAAAATGCGATCGACGTGTTTATCAAAATATTATTTTAAATAACTTATGCCGATGATCATAACTTTCATCCATTGATACGATTAATACCTTTTAGGTGTAACAATAAAATAAATATTTTTTTTTCTTGTTTCGGTTTTTCTACTGTTGGTAATATAAGCAGGTAATCGATAAAGAAAACCAACATGCTTTTTTTTATCAATCGTATGAAACCAATGAATGCATTGAAAGCAATAAAAAAGGAACAAAAATGAAGCATATAAAAAAATAAATTTTACTTTAATTATCGATCACGTTTATGGTCTATGACGAATAGACATTATCCATGTAAAAAAATTGATATCAAAAATCCATTAAAAGTCGATTAAAATCATACGATTTTTAATCAATAATTTAGCAGTAATAATCATGGCAAAATCAGATTTTAATCAACTATTATGATTATAATCGGTTTAGAATATTTTCAAAAATCGATTATAATCATAATAATCGAAATAATCGATTAAAATCTGATTTTACCATGCCTATTACTGCTGAATTATTGATTAAAAATCGCATGATTTTAATCGATTTTTAATCGATTTTAACCTCTCTAAAGTTGATTGTTTTTTCGTATTTTTTTACATGGGTAATATTCTTATGCAATATTCTATAATTCAATCATGTGATATGCTCTGTAAGAGTATTAAGTACATGTAAATTGTGATAGGAACCAATCAAATATGTAAATCATTATCGGATACTATGAATATAGAATTAATTCATGAAGAATATTTACATAAATAAATAAAGTATTGAATACTTGATAAGTTTTTCTGTCTTTTTAATAGATATCAATCTATTGCACAATTCATGTTTTATTTACAGTAGCATTAAATCTAATTCAACTGTTTGTCCATTATTTGCAATCGTTTCGAAAGATATCATACTGACACATTCTCGAATAAAGCAAGTTTTAATAAATGTTCAACAAATTTTCTCTTCTAGAAACTGAAATGGAAAGATCTTTATGTTTTTTACCTTTATCTTAACACATTCGGTCTGATGTGAGCCACTGGTGGCCCACGGCATAAAAGTTAAATATAGATACTGTATTTTAAACAAATGAGCTGGTTTTCTTGTTGATGACAGAAGAGTGTTTAACGCTTTTATTTATAAGAGAGAAATATCAATAAACACCAAGTTCGGATATTATAACTACCTCGAAGAAGAAAAAGTAGCCTTCTCCAATCTTCGAAATCACATGATTATATTTGTATTCTTAAAGTCTTTTCGAATAATTAAACTTGTACAATTATACCAAGTGCTGACAAATTGAACTTATAGAGGAATGTTCCTAGTATTATATGTTTTGAATAGAGCAAAACTTATTGCAATTCAATGTTGTTATGCATCTACATAATTTTTTCAAAATTTGTAGGTCACGTTTTCTTCTTAGACGTTATTATAATACCTAGTGTTACAGTCACATGTATAACGCCTTGACACATCGGTATTTGTTTATTTATTTCGCATTCTTTGATGCTTTATTTCTCTTTATATAGTGTTCTCTAAACTCGCTTATCAAAATAGAATCAATCTCGAAATACAACGAATATGGATAGTCTTAATAATTTGATGCCGTGATCCGTCTTCTTTCGATCACTTTTCACATAACGTTACAAACACTTTTCTATTGTGATTTCGTCACGTTCACTAACTCTTCAGTACGATTCATACGTTTTCCATTACTATTTACTTCAACAAAAAAAACGACGACAGGATGGGGTGTGGATGTGGGTCTGGATGGGTGTGGGTGGGTGGGTTGTGGGTGTGGGTAGGGTGTGAGTGTGGATGTGGGTGTGGATGGTGGTCTTGTCTAAAACCACACCTATACTCATCCACACCGACACCCGTCCACACCCTTACCCACTTACACATCCTACCCACAACCAGTAATTCGTAAATATGACTTAAAATCATTTGATCTTCTGTTTTATTTGGGTACTCTTTGCGTTAATCTTGTTAGCATGAGTCAATCAAACAACATGAACATTGCCATTTTGAGTCGAATTGAGCCTTTTTTTCTTGGCTCGTTTTGACTTCTGATAAGCGAGAATGACAAGTATTATTAATTATTAAACCCTGAAGACAATATGATTTTTTCGGTTCTATCGATGTAATATGAATAGACAATTCAAGCTCTTCAATTAATACCTTGAATTATTTCTTACTTCACGTCAGAAAAAATAGATTCATTGAAGTAATATGTCTTTAATTAAATCCAATCAAGAGTACATATGAGCCAGTTCGCATAAGCCACGACCTACTGCCACGCGAGGCTGCTCAATCATAATCTTAGATTTGTGTGATATATATTCCATTTTGCAGAGCATACTTTTTTAGGCTGAGAACCAATTTTTTATTCCTTATCGAAGGTCCTTTCATGGAGTTGCATTGACTTTTCGAACGATTTTTCAAAGTTTTTTATAAAAAAACAATAGAAAAATTACCTTTCTGATAGATTTTCTTTCCAGAAATGGATGGGATTGCGCTCAAACTTTCTACTCAAACACTACGAGGCCGAGGGCTACTGCAGAGTGCAACCAAAAATTTCGGATCTCTGATTGAGCAAAATCGGTCGTGGCTTACGGGGACTGACTCATATATAGTATACTTGACTCATGATAATCTTTTTGAGACTTCCTGTTATCATCCATGTTAATACCTGTCATATTAATAATATGTTGATTTGCCTTTAGGGTGACAAAGGTTACTGTTATATTCTTTACAAATATATGACTGATAAGACTCTTGTCTTTGACTTATACACTATAAAAGCCATCTCCGATGCTTCTTATCGTCGCGTGCAATCAATTCAACCAGACAGATATGAACCATGTAGATATGAAAATAATTTCATTAATACCTTGCCCGATGATTATGATGTATATTATGATGCAACTTACTTTTGGAACATAGACAATTCCAATTATTATCATAATATCAACTGGATAATTGAATTAATGAATTATTATATGCAGAATAGGGGATCATCGCAGAACCCTTACGGTGCCTATATTGAGAGAACATCGAAAGAAACTATTCCAACGAATTCTTATATACTTTAATATCCACAAGGAAACTGAAGATAATTCTTTGGTGATGAAGCAACTGTTAAGTGAGTAATCTGTTCAGATAGAGTTTTGCGAGACATATTCGATGGCGGAACATTTTCTTCAACAGAGCATGGAGAAAATCAAATCATCTTCATCAATATTTCAAATTATTTGTCGTGGTTATTATAAAAGTGAAGATAAAAATCCATTGACTTTGTTATTTTTCATGAATCGTTATCACTTAAAATGGATTCCAGTAGTTGTCTTCACTCAAGATAGAGAAGGTTTAATGTATCACTTGCAAAATCAAGCATCATCCATGGTTATCCATAACTGGAAAGATCGACTATACATAGTAAATAATTCGACAGACCTGATTGTCAAAGTCAAATCTAATATTAAAAATAACTGTGGCAACAATTCCCAATAAAATAGAAATTGATATGTTAGTTTTCAGACTGTGGTGCTAGTAAAACATAAAAAAAATGAATCAATGAATGTAGTGATTGCGTCTTCTAACTATCCATGTTTTTTTGATACATGACATTAAGATAAAAACTAACAAACTCCAGTAAATTGAAGCGTAATTTGAATCATCTGCAATGAAACTAACTAACAATGCTCTATTTTGATTAATAGATAGGCTGCAATAAAATTTTTCAAATAACTTCTTAAGTCACAATGATGACACGTTGATCAGTCATCAATTAATGATCAACAAACAGAAATATATTAGATATTATTCGAGCGCTCATTTCCTCAAGCATTTGAGGGAATTCAGAACACCAAAAACAAAATGCGTATATCTATATCAATCTTGAAAATAACATTAGTTCGACTTGAAAAAAACAAAAAATTTCTATTACTAAGTATTGATCCTCAATCTTTCTTGTTGCACTTGACAGTATAAAACTCTCTAGAACTCGAATACGAAAATGTTAAAAGAATTTGCTTTGTTTTTAAAGATAAACGATCTCATCACTTCAAGTTTGCAGTTATAACTATCCTTGATGTTATAAATGATTAATTTTCTAGTGATTGTATCTTCTATTCGAACCAAAATAATTCACCAATTGATCCAAAGCAAGTGTTCAACTGTTGAAGAATTGATCAAAGGAAAGAAGGATCAAGAAAAAGTAGAGTTAATCTTTCAAAATTTAGAATTTTAAATCAACTTGAATAAAGAGAAACATTCTGGAGCAATATAATCATTGAACAATACACTGAGTCAATAAATTTAGCAACAGTCGCCAATAAGATAGCCATATAACCAACATTGATACAGAAAGTCGTCAAAAAAATGGTTGATGGATCTATTATAAAAATGAGTCAAATTCGAATGGACAAGATTTCATGAGATATTTAACATTTATAATCACTTGAATGCCCTCAGATGAGTATATTTGATAATCCTCATTTGTCTATGATTTCTTGTTGTTTTTAATTTGAATCTCATAACATCTACTGATTCAAGCGTTAAGATACTGGGAGTGTTCTTGGAGTGTGTCACAATGTAAGATATTGAAGATATTCATGTTCAAAATTTGTTTCGTATTGTTGCCGATCTAAATTTGTCGAATTGTATCAATGTTATCGAGCCAATATTTAATATGAAATCGGCGAAAAAATTTCTCAATCATGAATTATCATCATGGTTATCATTGTTGTTTACGGATTAATATACCAGTGAAAGATCTAATCTTTG